CAACAACATTACCCCTGCTACATACACACTACACCCCAGCCACAACATTACACCTGCTACATACACACTACACACCAGCCACAACATTGTACCTGCTACATACACACTACACACCAGCCACAACATTATACCTGCTACATACACACTACACACCAGCCACAACATTATACCTGCTACATACACACTACACACCAGCCACAACATTATACCTGCTACATACACACTACACACCAGCAACAACATTACACCTGCTACATACACACTACACACCAGCCACAACATTGTACCTGCTACATACACACTACACACCAGCCACAACATTGTACCTGCTACATACACACTACACACCAGCCACAACATTGTACCTGCTACATACACACTACACACCAGCCACAACATTGTACCTGCTACATACACACTACACACCAGCCACAACATTGTACCTGCTACATACACACTACACACCAGCCACAACATTACACCTGCTACATACACACTACACACCAGCCACAACATTACACCTGCTACATACACACTACACACCAGCCACAACATTACACCTGCTACATACACACCAGCAACAACATTACACCTGCTACATACACACTACACACCAGCCACAACATTACACCTGCTGCATACACACTACACACCAGCCACAACATTATACCTGCTACATACACACTACACACCAGCCACATTATACCTGCTACATAAGCACAACATAAACACCAGTCTTATTTCACTATCATTGAGACACTTTGATGTTATTGAGATACTTGATATTATTATTATTATTATTATTATTATTATTATTATTATTGTGTTATTGTTATTTTTAATATTTTTAATTAGTTTTTATTTTTATTTTAATTAAAAGTTTTAGTAATTTGGTTGTGTTTTTGTCATTGTTATTAGTATTATTTTTTAAACATATCTATATAGTTTTTTATTTGTTTTAGTATTTTTATTTTATTTTATTTGAATTAATTCATTTATTTTCTTGTAACAAAATATTTTTTGAGGTTTTATTTTTATACATTCATTGTTTTTTTAGTATCACTGAGATTATATTATGATTATTTTATATAGCTATTATAGTTCTTATTAATATTTTTAGTGTTTCCCATTTTCATTTTCATTTAAGTTAAAATATTAGTAATTTTGTTGTTTTTGTTTTTTTAAATACATATCTATGTAGTTATTATTGTTTTTTATTTTAGTTTTACAATTTCTTTATTTTATTTCAGTTAACATTTATTTTATTTAAAGTAACCCATTTTGTATGGTTTTATTTTTAGTAAACTATAATCAGCGTTATTTTAGTGTCACTGAGATACTATTATAGGTTTTATATTTTCAATTAGTTTTTATTTTTATGTTTTTCATTTCCATTGTAATTTTAGTCATTTTGTTCCATTTTTATTTTTAGTAAACTATAATCATTGTTATCTGGGATATTATAGTTTTTATTAATATTTTCAGTTTTCAAAATAACATTTTTACAGTCATAAATAAACATTATGAACTTATGAACACAAAGCTCCACATGCACGATGACATTAAATTCATTAGATTATCTTTTGTGATAATTGTTGGATTATTTTAAGCACATCACTTAAGGTGCATTATTAGTGCCTTATCTTAATAAATATCCTAAACTGAACATCTCAGCACTGATGGCTTCATGAACATATTCATTGTGACCAGCGGATGGCAGTATGTTGACAGGTTAATTAGTAAAAGCTTCATATCAGAAGAGTTCAGGCACAGGACGACTGATACTCTTTAAACATGACTCACTTTCGCCATAGCAAAAGAAAACTACAAAAAAAGATCTCTTTAATATCTTGATTGTTTCTCATAGATGGAGACTTTAACTGAAGTCTCCTGCTTCTCGTATGGTTCTTCTGGAAGTAATGTCACACACCATTGATATTACCTGAGAAGTTCAAATAAATACGCTAGAAAACCACACACTTTCAAGGACGTGCATTTAATACGTGTGCGGAGTAAGAACATATAAGGGAGCTGAAGTGTTTAAAACATACGAGCACAGATCAGCTGAATGATAAATTTACCCTCTTTAACTGTATGTTAAAAAATATTTCTTTCTTTTTTTCACCCTCTCAACAACATTTTTTTCTTTGAAGCTCCAGGGTTCTCACTGTCTTGGAAAACCTCTACATTTTAAAAGTGTGATTTCTAGACCTGAAAAAGTCATTTAAATTAATATAATTTTAAAACTGTATGGTCATTTTTATAATAAATATATTGTGTAAAACTCTTATATTTATTATAATTTATATATATTATATTATGTTATATTTATTTATCTAAATATTTAATCAGGTACAAATTGTGAGTAAAGCATATATATATATATATATATATATATATACACTGTAAGTTGCTTTGGATAAAAGCGTCTGCTAAATGCATAAATTATCAATTATTATTAATTATAAAATTATATATATATACACACACACACACATCCTTGTTGGTCCTGGAACAACATTTTTGTCAATGAGATGTTAGAAACAGGGAGAAAAATAGGTTTTGAGTTTGGATTGAAGTTTGAAATAGATAATTTATAATTAATTTATTTGGAAAGTTATGCAGTCGAGACAGTTGTTGATGAATCTTAGACACAAACAACAGACTTTGATGTTGAATGGTCATGTAACGGCCCTTCCTATCAGGCCAAGCCCCCGTCCCTTCATGCGGGAGCAGTTTGGAGTGGTGTGGTCTCCTCTGCAGAGCGCCGCCTCAGTGCCGCACCTGCACAGGTTAGTGCTTAGCCCCGCCTCCGACTGATCACGTGACCACTCAGATGCACTTTCACTCTGTCCGATAAAAGCACTGTTAAACTTCACTACAAAGCATCCTGATGCACGACGACCACCTCAATCCTCACTGAACTTTATTTATTTATTTATTTATTTTATAGCTTGGTCAAGTTGGTCAGAACTGTTCCTCTGTGCTGCACCTGGCTCTCGCTCGCTACTGAAAATAAAATAAAATGTTGCTAGCGGAGTGGCAGAAGGGAGAAGGATGTAAAGGTTTCCTCTAGGGCTGCCCCCCTAATAAAAATTATATTAGTTGGTTAGTCAAAGAAAAAAACAGTTGGTGTCCGTGACGGGCAAATAACGGCTGGTCCTTACAGTATATTGGGCAGTAAATCCAAACGATAGCCTATTCATCAGCGAGCACAAATATGGCTTATCATTTGAAATTGAAACATGTAGCTTAAGTAGAAGCAGCTTTGCACGGCCGCTCGCTCTAACGTTAACTGAGATAAATGTGTGCTATTAGGAGCATATTCAAGTGTTTGTGTGGAGTGTGGAAGCTGTTTAGAGTGCTACTGCGTGACATGCAGGCGCCGGCACGATCACTGGTTTCTCCAGATAATAGTGGAAACAAAATAGGCTACGCCATAATTTTTGCTCATGCAGATAAGAGTAATACATCATTCGAAACTGTAAAGGGTCTACTTTTATTTGTATACATCACTGTAAAAAAAATCCGTAAAAATTACGGTAGAAAACCGGCAGCTGTGGTTGCCGGAATTTTACCGTAAAAAATACGGTAGCAACGTTTTAGGTTTTACGGTTTTAACTTAAATTTACAGTTAAATACCGTAATTTCATTAACTGATAAAATTTTATTATATACCAACCTATTGAAGTACTAAAATCTGTTTTGTACCTTTGTAATACACTGATAACCACCAAATGCAGGTGGTGATGAGAAAGTCACACGATGAACCAAAGCCTATCACAAGCAGCTTTTAAATAATAACATATATAGAAGGTGCACAGTGTCATTCACACAAACACCAAACACCATCATGGTAACACACATGAAACTGAAATAATGCAATAAACATTAACTGAACAACATTAGGTGTAACGCACAACGCTAATATACAAAACTGATAAGAAAAAACTAAAAAGAAACATAGTTATTTCAACAAAAAAACATCAAATTTGAAATGTAACACAGGGAATTCTGGGAATGTCAATTTACGGTTATTCACTGTAAATGATACGGTCTTTTTCACTTCCAAAAACGGTATACTACCGTAAAATTAATGTCCAATACATGTAATGTCCAATACAGTTTTTCACCGTATATAGTAGGGGAATTTACCGTTAACCATTTAACAGGATTTTACTGTAGCATTTTTACAGTCTTTTACCATTAAATTCACTGTCATTTTTTACA